AAGAGATAGGACTGGAGAATTTTGATATCCATTTTGAGTTTCTGAATACAAAAAGGAAAAGAGAAAGTAAAGGAGCAAGGCCGAACTTCAACAGGGTTTTGTCCCACTAGCAGGCAGCTCAGGTGTAGCCACATTGTCAGAAAGGCCACCCTGGGGCTGAAGCAATTGCACAGCAGGGAAGGCATTTGCCTTGCACGCGGCTGACCAGGGTTCGATCCCCAACATCCCATCTGGTCCCCTGAGCACTGCCAGGAGTAATTCCTGAGTGCAGAGCCAGGAGTAACCCCTGAGCATAGCTGGGTGTGACCCAAAAAGAAAAAAAAAGCCACCCTGAGGCATCAACTGGGCCATACAGGCACAGAAGTACAGGGGCTAGAAAATAGTAGAACTGAATCCCAACTCCCTGCTATTCCCTGGTCCTGTGTCTAAAGCAAGACTGAGGGTCAGAGTACTGGAGAGTTTCATTCTGGGTGTTCAAAACCGCAGTCTGGGTCCATGGACTTCTGCTTCCCATGCCCCAAAGACCGTTCGCCTGGCTCATTCTGGGATATAATGTACGGGAGGTTCCCGTTTGCCACAAGGCTAGGAAGGGACAGGACAGGTGGCAGAAAGCAAGACAGAATTGCAGGCTACGTGCCTATCTCAGACTGTTAACATAAGGATGTATGTCTGGGACAATAAATTCCTTCCTGCACGGAAGAGCACAAATCAAAATTGGTTTAAAGGACCAGGAAGGAAGAACAAGGTAGGACTTCATCAGTAACAGCGCTTGACCTGCATGTTGTGAGATCCTGGTTTGCATCCTCAGTGACTGTGCCACAATACATAGAAATAAAAAATAAAATGAGGGTGGAGTTCATGCCCAATTCAATCAGCTAATCAGTGGGTGAATAAATACCAGTACTCCTACAAAAATGAAATAAAATGAGGGGGCCAGAGAAACAGTACACTGTGGGAAGAGCACTTGCCTTGCACACGGCCGACCTGACTTCGATCCCTGGCACCCCAGATGGTCTCCCCTGAGCCCTGCCAGGAATGATCCCTGAGTGCAGAGCCAGGAGTAAGCTCTGAACACCACTGGGTATAGCCCCAAATCCCCACCACCACCACTCCCCCACCCTATCCCATAAAAGGAAAAACTGTTTGCGGCAGTATCAAAAGCTCAGAAATCCATGGGGCACATAGAATGCCTCCAGGAATCATTCCCCATGAGAGAAGAGAGAGAGAGAGAGAGAGAGAGAGAGAGAGAGAGAGAGAGAGAGAGAGCGAGAGCGAGCCCCTTCCTGAGTGTACACCAGGACTGTGGTCCTCAGAATTGGCTGGGTCCTGGGCCACTGCCTATGTACACATGTGTGCTGGGAGGCAGGGGAGGAGAGATGAGGGAGTAAGACCTGATTTCTCAGAGCCCAGCTGGGTATGTGGAGAGGAGGTCCTGGCTGCAATTCTGCACAAAGGCTGGGGGGAATCAGCACTTGAAATCAGCTTTCCCTGGGTCCTGGCTCCCTGTGGCAGCTATCTGCTGGCCCAGAGGCCTATGGCTCTCTCCACTTTCCATCAGACCCGTGTTCTTTTGCATAAAGGAAGAGGACCTCCTCCCACCAAGCCCAGTCAAGGCAAGAGGGGCTTAAAGAGCCTGTGACTTCCCATGGTTCCCTCCCATGCCCTTGGGAGGAGGCTGCGCCCACCCACAGCCCCTGTGCTCAGTCCTCAAACCAGAACCAGTTCAACCTGAGGGACTGCCTGGCCCCCACCGGGCCCCTCTCTGGCCTCACCTCACAGTGCCAGTGCCAGTCGGGTTGGCTGAGTTGCTGCCAACTCAGGGAAAAACATTCCAGGAAAAGAAACACAATGTGGGGCCCACTGAACCTCCCAGGCTGCTGCCCCCATCACAGGCCAACAGCCACGTGGCCAGAAAAAAAGGGGAGCCTCACTGCCCGCTGCAGAGTGGAGGCAGGCGGCCAAGGGTCCAGGCTGGAGGTGAGGCCACCGGAGCTAAAGCACAAAGGGTAGGATTCTTGCTGCGCATGAGGCTGACGCTGCGTGGATTGCTGCCATCCTGTCTGGTTCCCGTGAGCACTGCCAGGAGTGATTTCTGAACAAAGTGTCAGTGTAAACTCCTAAGTACCACCAGATGTGCCCCCTAATCCTAACCCTAACCCCACCATCCCCCCCCTCCACTGCTCCCCACTCCCCCCAAAAAGGAAAGGCTGTATGTAAGGCTCAGGGAGAACCTCAGGGAACACAGGAATGGCCCAAAGAGGCTCCTGATGACCCTGCATTCCCAGCCCAGGGAAGCGGAGGGCAGGACCCAGGAGGGGCCCAACACACAATACTACAGAGCACACAGTCAGGATCTACCGCCAAGACCACACAAGCCTCTGGCAGCCCATGGTAGGTTCCAGTGGGTTGCCCATCACCAGCTAGAGGTCAGGCTGCCCCGTGGAAGTGCCCACCTGCTCTCCATGACCTGGAGGTCCCAGCCTGAATCAAGAGCAGCGGGTAGAGACCCCCTGGACAGCAGAGGACAGAGCCGAGTCTCAGAAAGGAACTGCAAGAAGTGAAAAGGTTGCAGCTTCCCACCCCCCTGGAGACTTTCTCCCACCAACCCTAAAAATCACTGGCAAGGTGCTAGGCTCGACACCTGCCCAGCAGAACAGATGGGGTGGATGCCCCCAAGCACAGGCTCCCAGAGAGACTTTCAGCTCTCTCCCAGGGGCGGGGGGGGGGGCGGTGGGAGGGTCATCCTGGCCAGAAACTTCCCTGGGGAGCCAGCTCCCAACCACTCAAACCCGAGAGTACCACTGAGATCAAGAAAACCTCTCTGGGGCTGGAGCGATAGCACAGCAGGTAGGGTGGTTGCCTTGCATGCGGCCGACCCAGCTTCGACTCCCAGCATCCCATATGGTCCCCCGAGCACCACCAGAAGTAATTCCTGAGTGCAGAGCCAGGAGTAACCTCTGTGCATTGCCGGGTGTGACCTGAAAAGCAAAACAGAAAAGAAAAAAAAGAGAAAACCTCTCTGCCCTCACTTTCTGTGGTTGGCTCCTGGACACCATGGTCCCAAGCACGTCCCAGACAGGGAGAGGTGACCCGCCCCCCCAGCCCTGGGCCACACAAAGCCCAAGTTTTCACCCTCCCAAACCCCTTCAGGCAGCTCAAAAAGCCAGAGAACAGAGTGTTAGCAACACAGCTAACAAAACAAAAACCAAAAGGGCCCTTGTTTTGTTCTCATCCCTAACAACTCCCTAGACCTGACAGGGACACTTTCTCATTAATTTCTCCCTCGTTTAGCTGAACACCTAGGCAACAACTGGAAGCAAGAGGACAAGATCCACACTCGCAGCTGTCTCTGGAGGCCTCCCTTTTGCCCCTCTCACAAGCACTTTCCCTGCCTGTCGGGGGAAAGCAATTTCAAGGCCAGTGCCGAGATGATGATGACTGAGCACGCTCCAAGTTGCCACGTACTCAACACGATCTCATTTAGTCCTAAAAATAACCCTGTGAGCTTTGCCCCACTGTTTTTGTTTTTGTTTTGTTTTGTTTGTTGGTACCAAGGGTCTCAGACACATTCTCCACAAGCCTGAGGTCCCACCCAGAACAGTTCTGCCCAGACAGCTCCTCGTTTTCCAGGACTGGTTGGCTTCCCACGCTAACCAGCGTGTCCAGAGGAACTCCAGTTTCTGCTGCAGAAAAAGCCTCCCTGATGACCACAATCCATGTCTGACCGATTCCAAGAGCTTCCTCCCAGACTTGATAGGAAAAGGCTGGAGTGGTTCTGGGAGACATTGTGCAAGAACCCTGGAGGGAGTCCCTGTGCCAGGGTTCGGAGAAAAAAAAAAACTAGCCAGTTCCTAATGGCACAATGCCTCACTGCCAGCTTGCCAGGGCCCCCCAGAACATTCTCTAAGCCTTGGCAGCTAGCTAGACATGAGCAGCCACCTGTCTGGTGATTTGGGGAGCAACCTGTGGCCCCCTTGGAACCAAGTACTTGTTGGTTACAATTTAAGGATAGGTCTGGGAGGCAGGGGCGGGTGGGGTGGGGTGTTTAGCCTCCTGCAGACATAAGTAATGCAAACCCACCCCAATCTCTCTGTCTGCTCAGAAACAGACCAGATACTGGAAGCCCTGTTCACACCATCTGGGCAAAGAACGTGCACATAGCATAAGAACACACATACACACACCATACACCTTCACACACGCATGTAAACACCCTTACACCGCAGAAGGCCCATGCGCACTGACGACTTTTGGGGAACCTCACAGGGCAGGAAGCTGGGGAGGACGGCCCTAGGGCAACAGCAGGAACTGAACGCAGTAGCAACAATTTACCCTCATTAAAGTCTACTCTTGTTAACATTGTATCAGCTCATCTTCCAAAACCATTGGGAAATAGGCGCCAATTCTTCCCACTTAACAGGTGTGAAACTGGAGGATTACCAAGAAGTCACTTGCCCAGAGAAGTTCAAAAGAAAATTTCACCGTTTTCAGGAGCGGCAAGGTGACGCAGGACGGGCTTGGATAGGGACCTAAGATAGTGACGAAGTGGAGAGGTGCGACGGGAGGGGGGGTTTAGGGGGAGAGAAGATGGGGGGGGGTGGGCGGACATCAATAAGGCCATCAAGCTCGTTCCCTTTGAGGTCCCTAAGCCACAGGTCAGCCGGAGTAAAGGCGGCTCCCCAGCCCTCGGCACAATCGCAAAAACTTTTTTGCAGCTTGGGCCAGAGCAGGGAAGTTGTCCAAGGCCTCCGGTTCCGAGGCCAAAGGGGCCTGCGACTTCCCCTCACCCTCACCGGCCCCTGCCCCGCCTTCCAACACGAAACCCAAGGACTCAACTCCTCTCCCGACCGACCCCTCCCCACCCAGTCGTGTCCGAACCGCTTAGGACCGCTCGGATCGGGAAAGGGAAGGCGAAGGGCACGAGCGTCCCGGGAACCGTGTCAGGGAAAGTCAGCGGGGAGACCCGGGGCTTGGACCCGCCTCGTCTCCCCGGTCCTTACCGAGCAGCGGGGACTCCGGCGGGCAGGCGGGTAGCGATCGCGCCGTGCTGGGGGGCGCGGGCGCGGTAGTCGAGTTGCGGGCGGGCCCGGGGCTGGACTCCCCGGGCGGGCGCGGCGGGGAGGAGACGCCCAGAGGCAGCGGCGGCGCGGCCCCGCGCGCGCGGAGCCCCTCGGTGGGCGGCCCCGGCGCCCCGTCATCGTCCGGGTCTCCGTCCAGCGGGGCGCGCGCCCCCACCAACTGCGGCAGGCGGCGCAGGTCGCTGCCCGTCAGGTAGTAGACCAGGGTGACGCCGAGGTGCAGCGCGCACAGGGCCACGAGCAGGCGGCAGGCCCGCTGCAGGGACGCGCCCGGCATCGCGGCGCTGCCGTTCAGGAGCTGCTCGCGGAGCTTCATCTTCCCGCCGCCGCTTTAAGAGGGGGGTGGGCTACAGCCGGAGGGCGGCCCGCCCGCGGGCCGCCGGCCAGACCCTACCCGACACTGCAGCCGCGGGGAGGGCGGGCAGCAGAGCGAGTGCGGGCGCAGGCTGGCGGGCAGCAAAAAGTCCACCGGGCCCGGCAGCCCAGCGAGAAGGGAGCCCCGGGCGCGGGCGGGGGCGGGGGGTGGAGACGGAGCTGCCGGCCGGGGCGGGGCCCCGAGCGAGGTTTTCTTGGAGGGGCGGAGTGGGCGGGGTCCGGGGGGCCCGCGGGTTCGGGCCGTGGGCGGGGCCGATATGGGGCGGGGCCTCCTCTGAGGGCGGGGCCGATATGGGGCGTGGCCCAGACGGAGAGGCGGGGCCTAGGCGGGGACGGGGCCAAGACCGGGGAGCGGTGGGTTGCGGGCGGAGGGGGCGGGGGCGGAGTTGGAGCTAGTCCGCAGCGGAGGGTTCGGGAGGGCGCGGGTGGTGGATGCCTGGGGAGGAGCTGCCGGCCGGGTCGGGGTATTTTTGGATGAGCGAAGTGGGCGGAACCCGAGGGGCGCGGGATGGGCGGCGGGGCCGTGGGGCGGGGCCCAGCGTGGGAGGCGGGGCCTATGTGGGGCGTGGCCTTGCGGGGCGTGGTTTGGGGGCGGGGTCTCTGGGCGGGAGGCTGCAAGGGGGGCGGAGCAGGGGCTGGGAGGCTGCCGGGGAGCCCCTCGCTGAGAATTGGGGATGGCTCGGCCCGGGGGAGGGGGAGGGGGAGGGCTTCCCCGCACTTTGGCCCCGAGGCTCCGGCCTTCCAGGGATGCGGGCCCAGGGACTCGGGAGACTTGGGAGAAGTGCGCCCCCTCCCCCCACCTCCGCCGGCCGGGCACTGCCTCGGCGCGGCCCCCTAGAGGCGCCGCTCACTTCCTGGGGAGCTTACGGGCTACACCGGCGCCCTCCCGGGCGGGGCGCGCGGGGTCCTCCGGGGGACCACAGAGGAGCCGCCGGCGCGTCCGGGGGGGCTGGAGGCCAGGGGGCCGCCGCTGCAGTCCCGGGACGGCGTGGGGTTCGGTTGCCCCGGACACGGGGCTTGACGAGCGGCGCGCGCGCGCTGGCCCGGCCGTGGGGCAGGAGGGGTTCGCTGGGGCGTTAGGGGCCCGTTGGCCGCGGGGCCGGACTCTTCTACCCCCAGGGGGGCGCGCGCGCACGCGGGAAAAGAAGGGCCTCGAGGAGTTTCCCCCGCAGCCCCTACGCAGGCGCTTCCCGGGGACCCCTCCCCTCGATGCCTTTGGAGGGGAGGGTGCCTGGAGAAATGCCTCCTCGGGGCACACACACCCCGCCACCCACTGAGCTCTTGGTGGAAGTCGAGGGCGAGCCTCCGAAACTCCTCGGCTGGCCGGCGTTCAGGAGAGAGGCTGCTTGTATTTATTTATCTACAATCCAATTTATATGGCCCGCGCGCGCGTAGACCCCGCCACCCCGTGGAGTAACCGCGGCCCCCCTTGGCAGAGTTCAAGACTTCGCAAGACTCGGGAAGCGCCAAGATCCCACTGTCGGGAGTGGGAGAGGCAGAGGCAGAATTCCGGCTCCAAAACTTTTTTTTCCCCCTCTGCTCTTTGCTTGGCCCCCGTGGCTGTGCGAGTCAGGGCGAGAGGCTGCGTGAGCCAAGTTGCTTTGCTTCAGATTTGACGTTGGAGAGAGCCAAGGATTCCCAGGCTCTCAGAAGGACTCTGGGAGGGGGGTGGAGGGGGTGTGGTGCGGCAGGGGGACCCTAATAGCTGTGCTCCTTGGAGCATTCGCTATACAGCCGTTCCCACGCAGGCCCACCCCGCCTCTCTCCTCTCTGTCGCACAGCCATATACACCTTGACATTCCCGTGTCCATTTCACAGAGGTGAAAACTGAGGCTTGGGATTTGGACCTTGGTTGAGGTGGTACAGAACCTGCTTCATTCACCTGGTTTCCTGGCTTTTCTGGTCTTCCTTGCTTCACTGGCAACTCCTGTCTTCTCCGTGGCCTCATTCTCCTTTCCTTCTCTGCTCACTTCATGGGCACGACTGATTTTTATCTGCCTGCCTATGACTGCCAAGCGCCTGTGTTCCCAGGCGGGCCAGATGTCTGTCCTCTGCAGGAGCCAGTTGTAATGACTGTATGCTGATGGGGGGGGGGGAAATTATATTTTGGTCTCCAACCCTGACCTCCAGACTCCTAATCAACTTCCAAGCATTTCAAACCCCGCACATCCTGTCTTCCACTACCCACTCCACTGCCGTTCCAAAGAGAAAGGCACCATTGTTTATCCCATTCCCCAGACCTCAGTGGTTCTCCATGTGTCTCTCTTAGTCTCCATTGCTGATTCCAAGGCCTGGGCAAGTCTCCTCAGCAACACTTTCAAATCCTCAGAACCCACCATTCCTTAAGCTGCTCTAACCATCTTGCCACCATACTCTTGTTCTGAGTTCTGTGGCAGCCTCCTAACTAACCGGTCACTGGGCTGACCAGTTTTCCTCCATACCCCTTCCCCAGGTTATTCTTCATACCAGATCCAAGGAGATCTTTGTAAGCATACGAGAGATCACGCGATTCAATTCAGAACAAAATCCGAATCTGTATAAATCAGCCTAATCTGGTTTAGATCTCTTCCTCCCCCATAATTGTTCTTTCAGGGTTGCCCTACTGTATTTCAGTGTGTAATCATTGCCACTGCATAATTGTGTGACACCCACTTTTAAGTAATATTGGCACCTTATCTTAAAAAAAATAGAACTTCATAATGGTCGAGCCCTACTTTTTGGCAAAAGAAATAAGTGGGGCTTGTTCTTCTAGCCTGTGTTCTTCCTTGAACAAGTATCTTGCTTGCTTGCCTACTTGGTCTTTCAAACTCATGTTCTCGCTTTGACACATACTCCTTTTCTTCTCTCCCCCTCCATTTTTCTAAATAAATTTCATTCAAGAAAAATTATCTTGCTTCTCTCCCTCTCTCTCTCTCTCACACACACACACCACAAAATCTACAACTATGCACTGAAATATCACAACCTCTAAGTGTTCCCAGTATCTTTACATTTTCTATTCAGTTGGTATCTTTGTATTTGCTGTTCACTTAGCCTGAGTTGCTGTTCTCCCAAGTTTCACTGTTTTTTCAAAGCTTACTTTAGGAGAGAGATCTCAGACCACCCTGTGGAGGTTAATCCCTCAACCAAATCTCTCTTCATAGAAGCGATCAGTACCCAAGGTTTTACCTTGACTGTCTCTCTCCCTTATTAGAAGACCAGCTTTGTGAGCACGGGTACATTCACTATTATTCACTACTACATCCTGAAAAACTAGAACTGAACCTGCACGTTGCTAACACTGAATAAACATTTGTTAAAATATGTGTGAATGAATGCTTAGAACCACTTTGATGATGTAAGAAGGGGAAAATAAAGGGTTTATAGTTGGTTTTGAACATGAAAGACAAGAATTTTTTTCACCCAGGGATAGGGGGCTCAAAGAGCTGGAGCACATCCTTTGCATGCTGGAGGCCTGGGTTCAATCCCCAGTATTTCCTGGTCCCCCAAGCATCCATGAGAGTGACCCTGGAGCACCAGCAGGAGTGACCCAAAAAAACAACAAACTTGTTTACCAAGGGGTTGGCGAGGGGGCAACTGACCCCAGCAGCCTGAGTCTAGTTAGAAAATGAGTCAGCCTAAGGTTACACTGACCTGCCCTAGAAGAAGAGGAGAGGTCTAATGTGCGATTCATAACTTACTCTTAGGCTGTTAACTACAAAACCACAAGACCCCCTAACTTTCTTGCTGTGAACTTCCCTTGCTGTAACCATGATTGTAACTCCTTATCTTCATGATGTTGTTGCTGTTCTGTAGCCCCAACATAATTGCAGTACCCGATACGATGAGGTAAGTGCACCCCCACAATGTTAACACATAATACTGAGCATGAATCAGAGGGAGAGTTTGCAGAAATGCCCCATAAAATGCTTGTAAGACCACTGCTCTCGGCTGATGCGCTGACAACTTTGCTGTCTGGACTCGGCCCACTGGTGAGCTAGACCTCCTTGTCTTGGTGTGCTTGATGAAGCAAACTTCCGGTTTAACAGAGGGAAGTAGGTATGTCATTCACATGTCCCTAGATTAGCCAGAAAGCTGGTCTGAGAGGAGGTCAGGGCTCATAAGCCTGTCCCAGGCCTCTCTCCACAGCCAGGAATTGAAGAAACGGGACAACAGTTGCCTACTGTCGTCCTGTGCATGACACCAGTATCCCCATCAGGATGCCGATGAAACACATGATCCAACTTGAGGGCCACCAACTGATCTTTGAGACAGACAGACAGACCTAGTGCAACCTTTCTGAGATCTCTTCACCCTCAGCTTTGTCAAGTAAAAAAAAAAAATCCATACATCGGAGCACAGAGGGGTGGGGTGGGGGAGTGAGGGAGGGAGGTGGAAAGACTCGAAGTGGGTAAGGCACCGGTTGAGTTGACCCAGGTTTCGTCTCTGACACCACAAGCCCCACCTGGAGTAAGCTCTGGCTGCAGCCTCTTGGAGACCAAAAACCAAAAATATTCATCCTAGCAGCAGATACTTTGGAGGAAGAAGCTGGCCAAAGTGGAGCCTGGATTTAATGGTGTTCCCCCTCATGCTCAACCCCCTCCCCTGTCGACCCCCAGGCCCTCTGTTTCTCCCTGAAGTCTGGCTTCAACTGCTGAATGGAACTTCTTCAGCCCTCCCATTGTGCCCTCAGCTGTACATGAAAATATACATTTCTGTTTCACCCCACTTGATCAAAAAGGCCGTGTCGGCCGCGTGCAAGGCAAACGCCTTACCCGCTGTGCTATCGCTCCAGTGTAAGTTCCAAAGCCAATACCAGGTAGGTTTTTGTTATGAAACTGGCAAGCTACCCATTACATATTCAATATGCCAAACCCGGTAACAAGTCTCACAATGTTAGTGGGCCCGCTCGAGCAAATCGATGAATAACGGGAGGACCGTGACGATTATGAAACTGCCATACACATTCCCACTTCCTGGAGCCAATTTTCATTTCGATTATCTATTACCAGGATTAACCATAGATTCCCTTGCCAAAATCCAACCTCTATCTGTAAAGTGATTACAGTGTCACCCAGCTCGTTTATTTGCCTTTTACTTGT